TAACCCTAACCCTTACCCTAACCCCCAAACCTAACCCTTAACCTAACCCTAACCCTAACCCTAATGCTTAACGTAACCCTAACCCTAACCCTTACCCTAACCCCCAAACCTAACCCTTAACCTAACCCTAAACCTAACTCTAAACCTAACCCTTAACCTAACGCTAAACCTAACCCTTAACCTAACCCTAAACCTAACCCTTACCTTTACGTGAATCGGCTTGCTTTAAAAGCGCTTTTTAAAGCGCCCTTTTTTCTCCGCGGTCGTATTTGTCGCGCTGCTGATGACGTCAGGTACGCGCTTTAATTGGGCGCGCTTTAGTGGACCGCGGTTTTGTCGTGCCACGGCTAGTAACATGGTTAAAAAATTGATTCTGCCTTCCCATTGACTTCCCTTGTCAGAAGATTATAAAGATGATCACATGACCTTGTACACGGAACCGTCATACATATGAGCCAATTGACAAGCATCCAAACTTTGGCCATGTGGTTGCTGCTAAGTGTGAAAAATTTACTTTTTCAAGCGGAATTGTAACTTCGAACAGTCAGTAAATGAAAGGTTGTAAGTTGAGGATTACTTGTATTGTTTTCATTGTTCATTGGTGTTCATTTTCATTATTGGATTTTTAGGAGAGGGATGTTCATTAAGATACCATAAAGGAAATATGAAGATAAAAATGTAGGAATCCGTGTCATAAAGAATATATGGGAGTTTGGGGTTTGTGTTTTTGTATGTAATGCCATTTTAGTTATTTGTATAAGTATTCACCTTATATACTATACTATACTATACTATACTATACTATACTATACTATACTATACTATACTATACTATACTATACTATATACATGTATGTGTATAAGTACTATAGTTATATGTGTATTTTAATAGGATGAAAGTTGCATTAAAGCTATTTCAGATAAGCCATCAATCCTGCCTCTAAGGGTGATAAAGCAAGATTATAAGGGGAACCTATGTCATACTATCACTTGGCTTGCATACCTTGTCAAAAATAGAGTAATTAGAGTAAAGCCTGGACAAAGATTGTGTAACTAGCATTCAGGGGTGTGTTCCTGCCAGTTCTAACCTCTTCTATAGAAGAGGTTCCACAAATCTATAGTGCCATTTAGAACCAGTTCCAGCTCCCTCCCCGCGCCCATCCACACATCATCAAAATGAAGAGCGAGAGAAGGAATTCTGGGAGTTGAAGTCCACAAGTCTTAAAGCTGTCAAGTTTGAACACCCCTGGGTTTTTTTCCCTAAAGGTTAGGGATGCAAGGGTCTTTTAACTTGACAGCTTTAAGACTTGTACACTTCAATGCCAGAATTCCTGAACCAACATGACTGGAGGAGGAATTCTGGGAGTTAAAGTCCACAAGTCTTAAAGCTGTCAAGTTTGAACACTCCTGGGTTTTTTTTTCTAAAGGGTTAGGGGTGCAAGGGTCTTGTACCTTGACAGCTTTAAGACTTGGTGCTTCAAATGCCAGAGTTTCTGAGCCAACATTTTGTTGGCTAAGCAAGAGCTTTGTTAAGTGAGTTTCATCATATTTTACAAGTTGGTCACGCCCTCCCGGTCACATGGCTGGCAAGCCATTCCCACCCGGTCACATGGCTGGCAAGCCATTCCCACCCGGTCACATGGCTGGCAAGCCACTCCCACAAAGCAGGCCACACCTAAAGAAGAGGTTCTAAAAACTTTTGAAACCCACCACTGCTAGCATTCCATTATATATCGTGCTTTAATTAGCTAGTATCCACAACTTGTCACATTTGAAAGTGACTAGTGACATTTATTATAGAACAAGGCCACTGAAACAATGGATTTTAATTATATTTAGTGTCAGGAGCCAGAATAGGGCTCAAAAGTACTACAAGTTTATTTTATGCTACATATACACAAGAATTTGAACTTTAACGATCAAGGTGAATTGGCACCAGATTAGAATAAATAGACTTGTGGGAGGGAGCTGGATTTAGTTCTTTTACGGGATTGTAGTGACTCCAAACTGATATGTTTGACGCCCGCCCTTGGGCTCATCTTGATCATCTTTTATGTTTAGCTTTGCAAGAACAAAAAGACTATGATGCTTTTACAAGCAAAAATCTGAAAACTTCTGTTTTAAGGCAGATACATATATTACTGAAGAAAACATGATAGAAATTTAGTCTTCAGAGTTTAAATGGTGTTATTAAAATGACAGCTTAACTAATTTCCTAATTAGCATCTGGCTGTTGCATGATAACAACTACCATTTATTAAGGTTTTAAGACAGGAATATTATTTTTGTTAAGTTATCGGGGATATATGCTAATTAATGTTTTTCAAAAAAAAATTGAATGAGTTATTAATATCCAGCACTTGGGCATTAGAAAATCCTGATAAAATTTAGTGGAGTTTTTCATTTCAAAATTTTCCTAGAGAAAATGAATCTTTGATTAGTATCTGAAATAAAATTGTATCTCAGAAGGAAATCTGTAAGAAATGTTAGATTACAGTATCATTTAAGGCAGATGAAGTAGTTCCTTCTATTTGTAAACTGTTAACCAAACATTCTCCTAATAGCAAACATGCCTCCAATATGAAATGTATAATATTAAACATATAATAAAAGATCAATCCCTTATATAATTTCCAAAAATGGTTTAGTATAGTGGTAGAATGGTGCTTGCTCCTACAAATAAATCTTTCATTAACTAAACAAGAAGAAAACCTAAAAATGATTTGGATCATTGTTGTAAACAGTGCATTGTTGTTCTGTAGAAAAGAATGTAATTTTTCAGAGCTTGAATAGGCTTTACCAAATGTTTGCTCCAGGGTGATATAAACAAGTTTGACTCTTGCTAGTTTAAGATTGGCATTGTGTTGTTAGGCTCCTCAAACCTATGATTTCCCCAAGATGAATTGAAGCCTATACATAAAAAGAGGGCATCAAGTCAAGAATGACTGTACTATATATTTTCAGTGGCTTGACCTTTTCCTTGAAAGCCTAAGATTTCCTTGTTTGTTTTAGCCGCTCATGTTTCCCATTTGGAGAATGTCTCAGAAGAAGAAATGAACAGGTTGTTGGGAATTGTGTTGGATGTTGAGTATCTCTTCACCTGTGTTCACAAAGAAGAAGATGCAGATACGAAGCAGGTTTATTTCTACTTATTCAAGGTAAATTGAATTTTTTTCTGTTTAGAAAATACATTTTAAGTTGCAGCTGTGGCTTCAAATGCACTCATCTAAGCCACACTTACAAATGCGTAGAGATGTTATAAACATAAATAAAAGTATGAAATTGTCACATTTTATCATCATTTTCCAACTCTTTTCAACAGCTTTTGAGGAAGTGTATATTACATATGGGGAAACCTGTTGTGGAAGGATCTCTGGAAAGTCCTCCATTTGAGAAACCTAGTATTGAACAGGTAAAGTAAACATGCAGGATCTTTTAGTATGATACGAAGTTTATCTAATAGTTCTTTAAAAATAGATAAAGAGTCTCTGGCAGTACAAAAATATGATTTTCTTATGTTGACCAGGAAAGAAAGCTGTCGACATAAAAGTTCACATTAGGATAGTTTTCCTTTTATTATGCCGACAAGCATTGTAAATCTATTGCATGTATTGTAGAATTCAACTTGTACGTTCATCTGTATGTTATAATGATTATCTTTAGTTTAAGTAGTACTCTTCTTAATGTATTCTTTTGTACATGTCTGCAGAGAGGCCTTTGTATTTTAGTTCAGTGCCCCTGGAAATTGGATGGAAAAAGCATCTTGTAAATTGGAAAATCCACCTTAGCAATACAAAAGAGGATGTTTAAAAGGAATCCAGTAGCTGATACAATTTGTATCACTACAAGACCCTAGGTAGGTAGCTGATATTTTTAGAAACTAAGGTGCTGATTCAGGAAGGTAACTATTGTTAATTAGCTGAGATTAATATATAAGCATTAGTTTTGTTAAGCATTTAATAAGCTCATTGTACTAGAATGAGATTTAAAACTGTATAGGAATTTTGGTTGTTTTAAGCACCCATTTGAGAAATTCATAATGTCATGAACAAATCTAGGTTAATTATATCAGATTATTTTGACCAAAGTTATTTTGGCAAATGCAGTTTGGGTTCATATATGAAACTGGAGTGGTATTTATTACAGCCAGGAAAGATACACTAAGATGCTGTGATATGAACCGTAATGGGAGATACAGGCACAAAGAAGCATTTGAGTTACAATAATTATTTGAGATCTCAGTTCCCCTTCTCTTCTTGTATTTCTCTATACCTTCAAATGAGAAGAAACATTGGTGGGAATGGAGAGCTTAAAACTTTGGATGCAATATTAGAAACTACATTTATTTACAAACTTTAGCTCATAACTCCAGAATTATAGTTTTTAATACTATCGATGTGTTTTATAAAATTGGAGACATAAGAAGAGCACCTTTAGATGCGAAACATGTCTTAAACTGAAGGACATCCCTGAACATCATGGTTTATTATACAGAATTTGCCCATCTGGTTATTGATCTTTTGTTTGTATACCAACATAAAATCACTGTTAGTTATAATGAAGTTAATATCTCATCATATATTGTTGATGAAGATATGCCATTGTGATCAGCCAAACTATGTATTATAAAGAGTGATATACAGACAATCCTCAACTTATAATCAAAATTTCTGTTGTTAAGAGAGGTATTTGTTAAGTGAGTTTTGCCACATTTGTAAAGTGAATCACTGCAGTCATTAAATAAGTAACCTGATTGTTAAGTGAATCTTGCCTCCCCATTGACTTTGCTTGTCAGGAGGTTGCAAAAGGGGATCACGTGACCCTGGGGCACAGCAACCACCGTAAATGTGAGTCAGTTGCATCTAAATGTAAATCACGTGACCATGGAAATGCTGCAATGGTTGTAAGTTGAAAAAAGGTCCTAAGTCACTTTTTCCAGTGCTGTTGTAACTTTGTACGATCTCTAAGTGAATTATTATAAGTTGAGGACAACCTGTAGTCTCTTTTCAAAGAAACCAATATATGACATAAAATATGAACCAGATACAAGCTGATCAGTAAAGATGTTGTAAAATTTTCTATAGAAAATATTTGTTAGAAGTTATTTCTCCTTAGGTCCATAAAATTTCTGAATTTTATATCAGGTTTTCATAATTCCTCTCCTTTCTGTTTCTTTTTTAAGGGAGTTAATAATTTTGTGCAATACAAATTTAGTCATCTACCATCGAAAGAGAGACAAACCATAGTAGAATTGGCTAAAATGTTTCTCAATCGCATCAATTACTGGCACTTGGAAACACCTTCCCAGTGGCGACTGAGATCACCTAATGATGACATTGCTGGCTATAAAATAAACTACACAAGGTAACAGTATATATACATATATACATACATATATATTTGTTTTCATAGATTTTCACGGGTGTAGGTATGCATGTCTTGGCGTATTCGGGTCTTTTCCCATGTAAGATTGACAATATCTTGACAACTTCAACAAGAGAATAATTATGGAAGCTATCAAAATAGAGAAACACCTCCACAACATGAATAAACGTGATGATACCTCCCGCCTACCAGACATCTGGAAACTAGTCCTAGTCAATAAACGGGTCCCAGCCACAAAAACCGACACAGGACACCATCACCCTCACCAAACATCAATTCCACCAACCAATCAAGATGTGACAACACAGCCAACCAATCTGTTTAAAGCAACAAAGCCAATAGAAAAACGGCAGCTCCAATCACGTTTTGCTCGCACAAGCACGAAGCCAAAGGCAGCAGCCTGAAGATGACAAGTGTGACCTCATCGAAACCTTGCCAAGATACTGTCAATCTTACACGGGAAAAGACCTGAATACTCCAAGACCTGCAAACTTACTTACTTACAAATACACACACACACACACACACACACACACACACACACACGTTAGGTTTTCACTGTATCTTGAGATAGTTCATAGTAGATAGCAGGTGGCAATGGTTTCTTCTGATATGTCATGCAGAAGATAAACATACTGGAATAAAAATGACTGTGCTTTTAGAGGGTGGCTTTGGAATGAATAAATTGTGCATAGCAGAACCCTTATATTCAGATGTAGTTTAACTCTGACAAATAGCAAGTAGATAAATGACAGATGTCGTAGGACACTACATATTTCTGCCACCTAAAGATTTAAATTTTAATAAATATAGAAAATCCAGTGGCATATTCTTCATCAAGTCGCAGTTAGCAGTTATTTATTTTTCACATTTATATAACCACCCATGTCAATAACCTGACTGGGCAGCTCAGAAAGTATTAAAAACAATATGAAAACAGTACAATTTAAAACAATAAAAACAATATAAAACTATATCACAAAATTAATAGCTGAGATGAGCATAACTACCCATAGCAGTTAATATTGCCCTGCATAGGCTCTACCATGGTTTTGCTTCCCCATGGGCTTTTACAGAAATTTTCAGGGGTTTGACAATTACATTCATTCCTTATCACCCTCCACAGCATTTTAGGTGTCTCTTCATCTATTAATCGCCCTCAATGTTTTTGGTAAATTCAAGGAGATTGTCAGGATTCACAGTAGGAAATCAGGAGTGAAAAGTGAAATCAGATGCATACCCTCCACATTCCAGAAAGCAAGCATGACCTCAATTGGATTATGCAACAGACTATCAAGAACAATCTCAAGCTCTGAAAGGCTACTTTGGTTGATTGGGCGAGCCTCCTTGCAATGGGAAATCGTGCCAGAAAACTTCATGGTTACCAAGTAGCAATCTGATCTGGACAGGAGGGAACGAATAAGAGCTCCTCCATATCCAGATCACACTGTCAGGACTTTGATAGCAAAACCAGATTAGGCCTCCTTTCATATGTTGTGATAGGCCCATAGTTATGGTATCCAAGAACTCCCAAGTTGCCATTGACTCCTAATTCCAGAAAAGAAAGACAGATTAAGTTTCCAGAATCATAAACCTGGGAAACTCCACTGCCAGCCCAATTATGGAATCAAGGAGCCTAGGCAATCAGGTTGCTACATATCAAGGACGGTAGTGGAGAAGTAACAGTCCTAAATGATCTATAGAGCTCAATCTAAGGAGCAGGTAATCTGGGGAAACACTGTTGAGAACCATCAGAGACTCTTGGACTACACTTATCATTTTCCCATTGCTGACCTAAGGTTTTGTCTGATTCCATACCTGACTCCATACCTGAAACCCAGCTGGGCAAAGCGACAAGATGGGCACCTGCCCTCTGAGCCAGCCAGATCTTCATAATGCACTCTAGGTGAATCTTCTCATCTGCAGTCACAAGATGAGGGTTAGCCTTTTTACAGTCTGACTTGGCATTAAACAGTCAAAGCCCAGGCATCTAAAGCCTGCTGACTGCAAAATAGGGTAGAGCCCAGAGGGCCAGAAGCCAGGGCCAAGGTGGCCCTTTGCCTCCTACCGTATCTCCCCTACCCATTATCAATGAAATGTTCTCACCCATCTCTAGGTCCCCCCCCCCGCCCCTGCAAAGGGCCTTTTCTTCCCCATGCTGGCTGGCTGGTCCCAAAAGTAGAATACCTCCTCACAATCACTCATATAAACACATTCCTGGGAGGGGATCTGACTCCTTGGAGCACTTCAATTTACATTATCAGCTTCCCAATATCCCTAATGGACCCCCTTTCCAGAAAACCAGTCCTCATCAGGCACCCCCAGCCAGATTCCTTTCACAAGCCTGGCAGGGAATCTGGTTCATAATCTATTACAATCGGATTCATCTAGGAGATATTAGGAAATCTCCTAGGCCAGTAGTCACCAACAAGTGGTCCATGGGAAAATTTTGGGGGTCCCCAGAAAAATTATTTGCGTTATATTGCCCTAAATCAGGGGTCCTCAAACTACAGCCCCTGGGCTGGATACATGCTTTCTGTAAAAGCCCATGGGGAAGCAAAACCATGGTTTGTGTTGCTGCAGAGAGTCTCCCTCTTCTGGGTCTTTTTGTGTGGCTCAGAGTGGGGCAGAAATTCCAACTTGGGTTCTGCTTCAGCCACCTGGTGCAGGACTTTGGGAGAAGGCTGGAAGGAAGTGCCATTGATTGAGAAAAGCCAGAGGGCCTCATTCTAGTGAGACTGCATCGTGGTCTGGAACTGGCTGACCATCTCAGTCTGCTGATCCTCCAGGTGCCAGTACCTGGCCTTGCACTCCTGCCAGTCTTCCCTTTTCTTGGAAACCCTATGCTCATAGTCCTCAGTGAAGTGCTTCTACTGAGCCTCCTTCTTGGTCAGATCCAATCTGATATGAGCCAATTGTTTTGTCAACTCTTTCTCATAGTGGCTGCTTAGCTACAGCAACTGCTTCCTGTTGGGGCCCTAAGGATCCCGGGTGGGCAGGCGATGAGTGACGAGTAGAGGCATCCCTCTATGTGTGTGACATCAAGTTGGCCACACCCATCCAGTCACATGACCACCTTGTCACGTCCACCCATCCAGCCATTAGGCAGATCATATTAGTGGTCTGTGGGAATTAAAATTATGAATTTAGTGGTCCCTGAGGTCTGAAAGGTTGGTGACCCCTGTTTTAGGCTATACAATTCTGCTGAATGTAAATGTATTCTTCAGTTCAGTTAGTTACAGAACATATACAGAATAATTATATAATATAAAATGCTTGTTTAGAAATTTCAGTGATGCATTCTATAAAGTAAACAGTTATTAAGTTTGATTGAAATGCATTGCATAGTAATTTGGATTAATTGAGTCTGTATTTTATTTTTTCTTTTGTAGGTGGCTGTGTTACTGCAATGTCCCCCAGTTTTGTGACAGTCTACCTCAATATGAAACCACACAAATTTTTGGGAGAACATTACTGCGCTCTGTTTTTACCGTTATGAGGCGGCAACTTCTTGAACATGCAAGACAGGAAAAGGACAAACTTCCTCTTGAGAAACGAACACTAATCCTAACACATTTTCCCAAGTAATTTTTTAAAAAGTTATCAACTTTCTGATTAATTTGAAAAGTACTGATTCCTCTTTTATAGAGGTTTGGACTGCAAAATTGCAGATAACTACTTGATGGTAGAGAGACATAAAGAAAATTCTTTTGATTATCATTTAGTGCAGTCCAGAGTTTTGCAGTCCAGATATGGTAGCTTTGTCCTTTCAGTGTTATCATGATCTATTATTGTAATAGTCTCTCCTTACTGTAAAATCTGAAGGAAAATACACCGTAATTATTTATCATGGATAGCTGTATCAAGAGAAACTGCAATTAACAAAGTACACAAACAAACTATAGAATAATTCTGGAAGAATGTTTTCTGTTAAAGACTTCTGGAACCATTCTTTAGTTATTTAACACTTTGTTCCTGATAATTGTAAGCCATAATGTGGTTGCTTGATTTTGACTTAATATGCTGTTGAACTCAGCTAATTGTGGGCTATTCAGTAAGCATTGGCTTGCTATAAAGTATAAATTTTATCATAAAGTATGATACACACACACACACACATACACACACACACACACACAAAAGGATTTTAAAGCCCTTGCTTCCTATACTTGAATCTGAAACACTGGAAATCTGTTTCTCTTGGTGTTGACAGAAGAACTCCATATATGTAAATTAATGATGTGGATTCAGAGTTTCTAAATACAAATTCTCATAAATATTTGGAGGGGAGGGTGTTCAGTTGACAAATAGATCATAAAAAGCAAATGGAGGAAACATCATCATGATTTAAGCACATGCGCACACACTCTTTGTACATTCATATGAAGTGCCCTTCCACCTTTGTGGCATAACTTAATGCCATTCAGTATCTGGATTACAGGTCTGCATTAGCCTAGGAGTTAGTGTGATTCACTTCAGTGGTACTTGAATAAATATGTATAGAATAGCAGAGTATTTAGGAAGATTTGTTGTTTATCAAATGAAAACAGGATAAAAAGCTCAGCATAAACCAGTTAGGGTAAGGTTCCTTTTGCTGCAAATTGGTGTCAGAATATTGTATATATAAATATGTAAATTAATACAGCAGAAAAAATATCTTCTGTTAGGAATAATGTATTTGCCTGTACTGTATATGAAGAATTGTAGTCTTTCCAAAGCATCTGTCAATCAGTAGATCAATTATAATTTCATCTGGATTCAAATAATGAAAAAGTTTTGAAATCCTTAGTGTGCCTAAAATATTTATAGCCAATGATACAAATTGGTTTGGACTGGGACCCTGTATTTTTGCATTTCAACGGAAGACTTCCTAATTGCAAATTTTCATTTTTGAAAATGTTGCTCAGAATGTGAATATTTCCATAAATGTAGTCTTCCATTCACAAAGCATCTTAAAAATCATTGAACAGACTTTGGCAAAATGGTAGTTTTCATAAGCCAAAGACTTCAAATAATACAAATGTGTAAATATTCATATAGATTTTAGAGGGGAAAAAAATAGCACAAAATGGCTTATTTAAGTTTGCTGTCTTGCTCTTACCATTAATAGGGAAACAAGTTGTGAATACAGTATAGGTACTAGATCTAAATGGCAAAAACCCAGATAACAAAGATATACAGAAAATAACATGTAATAACAAAACAACAACTCCAGACTAAACAGGTTGACTATGTAACCAATCATAATAATTTACTAAATTTATATGCCGCCTAACTCCTAGCTGTCAGGGTTCCAAGTAAACCCCCAACGAAAGAAGACTCTGAAGCTTGAAGTTCTTCAAAGTTAAATTTTATTAGAGATGTCATATTGGCACATCTGGGAAAACCCAAATTTGAGAGTTTGGTGTTTTCCCCACCCAAAAGAAAGTCAAAGATCAACAAGTCCATCACATGGTCCAATCAATCCGCCGTCCCAACTGGAGACAACCCCCAGTCACTCCCTTCCAGGTGCATGCCTAATGCCCACTCCCATTCCAGAGAAAGGAATGTTGTTATCGCTAATCCTCCATCGACTCCTTGTAATCCTCCTTCCCATTTTTCCAGGCACTAAATGTGGCAGCCCAGAACCTCCAAAGAAAAAGATGGCTTCCAGGGCTGACACTAGCAATATAAGCAGTCTCAGTATTATGATGTAGTTTAAGTATGTATATTGTTTTCTGATGAGTCTATGTTGGAAAATGAATGTGCAAGCATGGAACAGTCAGGTAATTCGCAACCTGTTGTGGAAGAAAGCAGGTTAAGTCACCTGACCTAGAAACTGAAGGCGGGTCACTAGGTTTACCGGGTTGTACAAGCAGTTTGTCAGTGAAATAGTAATATGTCCAGGAAAAATCACTATTGAGGATTGTGATGTGATTGCGAAGTGATGTGTCTACTTCTCCCTGCTGGTTTGGTTTCTGGGATGATTGCTTTCTTGTTCTGAATGCTTGAAATGTACCACCTTGAAATTAATCCAGAGAAAGAACAGTGACCAAAGAAGCTATTACCTGATTCAACTTCTTTTTTGTTTACAGATACTGTCTGATTCTATAGAATTTTGTGCTCTTTCTAGGAAGTATCTAAAATATCAAAAGCCATCTTGATTATTAATTTCTTATCACAGATGGAACAGTGTTTAAATTTTCTAAAATAATAGACACCAGAATATAAGGCTATGACTGCAACTTGCAGCAGATGCCTTCCATTTGGCATCTAAAGAATCTATTTCAGTGAGAAATGGTCAGATATTGCAGGTTAGGCTGAAGAGAAAAAAGTTTCTTTAGTTTTTCAAAAGCTTTCTGAACCAGTGTATCCCAAATAAATACTGTAATGTTTGCTTATGCAGTAGATTAAAGGGCTCTGAACTCAGCAAAACTTGGAACGAAGGAAGAATAATAGTTTACAAAACCCATTACCCTCTGAACGCTCTTGACTTTCTGGGGTAGTTGCCAGATTTAATAGCTTGTACTTTGTTAGGCTCTATCCGTATCTGTGTTGGTGAGATGCAATATCCCAAAAATCTGCTGTGCCTCAAATTCACATTTTCATTACATAATACAGAAGTCATGTACTTGGAATTGCTGCAAGACTACTCATACAATATGAGTTTCATATTGTTAAGAAGAAGATAAATGGATTAGAATGTCATCAAGACAGAGTTTAATAATTCTGGCAAATAATATTCCTCAGATTTTGGAAGCCAACAGGTGCACAACATTCATAGACAGCATCACTGTGCATTAAAAGTGATTATGCTGGGTGTGGAAAGAAATTTTACATTAATCACCATCTTAGATGTGAAGCAAATTATAAGCATCACTAGGCTCAATTTAGTACAGATGCATATCTTTGCAAATGCTCCAAAAGTTCACTGATGGAGAATATCTATTCCAAATGGAGATCTGGTTGACAGCCTGGAAATTGTTGCAATTTTACAGTTCCCATAATTTATGTTTTTACAAACAGAACACCAGCAGGAGCCAGTGCAATAGGGGAGTGGATGAATTTTGCTAAGGTTATTGCTTGTAAAATTATAAAATCTTCAATCTGCTCATTTGGGCAGTGATCAGGTCAGTGGGGCAATTATAAGGCCAATTAGATGGTAGTTTATCATCCTCTTGCTTGCTGAAATCTGTGAAGTTATCATACTAAGAAGACAGTGTTGGGAAACTTTTAGTGCAGGATGTGTAGTTCTACATAATTAAGAAAGCTGAAATTTAGAGTTGCCTTTGGTCAGAGGATGTGGGTCACGAATTTGTACCCAGTCAGAGAAACAATGTTTTACAAGTCCATTTCAATTTACTCCAACCCATACTCCAGGTTAGTGATGGGTTCCGGACCCCATCACAACTGGTACACTGTGCAGGGGGCAGGGCATCCTCATTGGGCACACGCTCTGCGCATGCATGCACAAGCCACCCCCCTGCGACACCCAGTTTCTCGGCGGAGGTTGTGCAGCCGCCGCATGCTATGCACGTGTCAGCAATTGGCCAGTCACATTATAAACAGCTATGGAACTTAGGCAGGCAGGAGGCCAAATGAGCTATCATACAGGTATGGCCGGACCGGACTGGACCGCCCAGAACTCACCACTACTCTAGATCCAGAAAGCACTAGCCTGACAGTGAATTCCACTGGGAATAGAGCTGTACTGAACCCTGGGGAATCTTATAGGTCTCTGTGAAGTATTGGTCCAAGTATTACTTGGACTTCAGAATTCATTATGGTCTGAGATCATAAGAGTGGAGATTAGATTATCACAAATACTATTGCATTTTTTCTGAGTATGGTTCAAGAGCTGGGGCTGAGTAGAAGTGCTTGCAATCTTGGTTTAGGAATCTGTCTAAATTGGAGCCATCCATTTACTTGGTACAGAAGAATGTAGGATTGTGTTGTTGTTTTTTGTTGGATATGGTACTATAATCTCCACAGTACAATATATACCAGGGTTATCATTTGTCTTGACATCTGGCCCAGCTGATGTCTTAGGTATTTGGAGTTAGAAGCCATTTTATATTTGGTAAGAAACTGGATGGAAATGTTTTTTTCATTAGTCTAGATGCCCATGAATTTGCAAGCACGTATGACTTAAGACTTGCAAACTGTAAACATATTCTACTCTAGTTTATCTTATCTAGGATGCCATCAGCATCCTAGATAAGGGTCCATCCTTATTTTACTCCAGTTTTTATGCCAAGAATCTGCCAGTTACATATTCAGCCACTGAAGTGACTTCTAGTCACAATTATCTAATGTTATGGCTTGACAGAGTGGATTTAGTAGGATTTTCAAACATAAACATGAATGACCTGATACATTCACTATAAAAGGGGTAGCCCATTTAGCAGCTGAACTAAAAAAATTGATAATGAACATGACTTTATAGTCCAAATAGAAATATTCAAGACAAGAGAGCACATTTAGTTTCCCAAAACAAGAATCTAGCAGTGAGCACAATCAAATTTCTCAGATGTTGAGACAGGATATTTAGGACATGGTATTTCCATCTGTATTGGCAAATATGCCAGCTGAGCTTTCAGTTACTCATTTTTAGCTACTAGTTGCTTCATAACATTGACTACAGTTGAGATACTTCTTATGTGAGGTTGGCAAATAGTCAGCCCTGTATCAGCAATTGTAAGTGCAGGAGATCATACTGGTATCAGAGTTCTTTATGACAGCTATAAATCTTATCACAGTGCAAAAATGTAAATGCTTGGGGAAAACAAGATTACTTCAGAAGCGAAGATTCCAGGTATGCAAGTCCAAGATTCAAATTTAAGAGTAATCTTGTACCAATCCCAAAATCAGAAACAGCACATTCACAAACTCGTATTCAGGGTTGGAAAATTGTTGTTTGCTAACAGAAATTTGACTCTCAAGCCCTTCTTTTAAAGCACTGATTTGGATGTGCCTGTTTTCCTGAATCACCTTTTTCTTTAGATGAGCATCACAGAAATCTCAATTGATCTTTCAGCATATTAGGGCTTAGGATCATTTTCTGCTCAGAAAAAGTGAGTTGATTTAGCTTGTTATGTTTTTGCAGTAGATGTCGAAGACTTCCAGTTTATTTTACAATCATTTCTGTTCCTTAGTCTTAAGAGAACAAACTGGCTCCTGATTGCAGAGTTAGAATCTGTCTTCTACTTCAGAATCTGACTCATCAGATGGATCTAGAATAACTTGCTGTGGCCAACTCACCATGGGCAATTCGCTATTGGACAGTTCAATGCAGCATTAATCATTTCATTGAGTTACTTTTAATTATTGGTGACTACATTTTCAATACAATTATTGTAACTCTTGTATTTCTGGATTGACTTTCTTTTATTATTATTGCCCATGATTTCATTGAAATTACTTTAACTTTTGTATTTGTTAAATTGTTCCCTGGTGAGTTGACTGATTCTGTCATCAGACAAGCTGTTCACAAAATTGCTTTGGCAAGCCAACATCATCCTTCTGTTCTTCAAGTTTGACAAATTCCAACTCTCATAAGCTTCAGTTCTCAAAATTTCCTACTAGCGTGGCAACTAGAGCCAATACTTCTGAAAGCCATGAGGTTGGAGAAAGACTGAACTGTTAACACGATTAGTGAGTGTGCTAAGTGGTTAGTTTTAATAGGCAGTCAGTCATATTACTCATGTAACATTATGGAATCTAATACCTTTTCCTTGGAACCATAGCTTATATCAAACATGGTCCAAATTTGATTTGTTCGTATTTGCCCTTTTTTTTTCTTGAGCTGACAGGGTCTCATATTTAAGGTGAAATAAGAAAGTAGATATCTTGGAACAATCGTTCTTAAGGTAATGAGTCATTTTGAGGATTTGTGCAAAAAAATAGCACTATCTTATATAGGCTTATTTAAAATTTATCAATTGAATTCAGTTGATCTTCTTCCAAGGTAAGTTGATTTAACAATATCAGCCTCACAGTTGTGTAATTAAATCCCAATAGATCACTCCCTTTTCTTTAGGACTGCAGCCATACAATTAAATCTCATAATTTTGTTAACTCAAAAATAGGTTGCATTATGTTTTAGCATGTTTAATTCCTAGAATAAAATACATAGCTAATATACTATAACTGGAATGATAATTATTATGGATATTAACAATAATCATTCCAGCTATCTGGGAGCTTTGGAATAGAAAGCATATTCTTTGCATCAGTTCAATGTAAGAAAAAAAATACATATTCCTTTTAATATATGGGTTGAGACATTACATACAGTGTTTGTAAAATGTATTCTTGCAATCATTAATGTTATTACTCTGGGGTTGCTTTAACTAAACTGCCTGGCTATATTGGTGAAACTGCCATTTAGAATTCTGGGTGGGTTCTTATTTTTCAAAGCAGAGTCTTCAACAGACAGCAAGGAAAGAATGTAAAGGCATGCTTTAATGTAGTGCAATATTGCTTTAAAGAGTTGAAGGTTAGAAATATGAGTTTAACAGTCAGGAGAGTAATTGCCATCACTTTGCCAGGGGAAAGTGATGCCAGGAGAAGCTTAAGCAGTCTCCAAAATGGTTCTGTTACCTGTTGTGATGTGCGATATCAGCTACTATTTGTTTTCAGAGCTTGTTAATATTAGAAAACCAAAATCAAAGCTTTTAGGATGAACGTCCATTTATGGTTTGTTTATTTCTACAAATGGTTTCATTTCTGGGTTTTTTCCTTAAATTATTCTTATTAAAATAGATTTTGCTGGTTTTTTTCCTTAAATTATTCTTATTAAAATAGATTTTGCTGGTTTTTTTTGCTGGTATAATTTGGTATAATTCCTTTGGGAATTTATTCTGGATTGTTTGATGTGGTTTAATTCCTCAAATCCATCTTGTTGCAGTCTTGTAGATAAAAATGCATGGATATATATTTAAAATACAGTACTTACATATGAAATAATATTAAGCCATTTGGTAATTTTGGCTAAAAAATGTTTAGTTTATTTCTCTATTTCCTTTGTCCCAAACTAAAATCCACTAAACTCTTAAGTAAATATTTAAGGAATAAAATATAGCTTTCATAGATACAGGGAAACAGTTTTTAAACAATGTTTTTGAGGAAAATAATATCCTTAAAATTTAGAATGATTTTTTTTATAAAAGCAAGATCTAATGGTCTGCTGGGTTCCATCATGATTGCTTTATTGCCACCTAGTGGTCCTCTGGAAGTCCATTCATCTCTAAAAAGTAACCATATTCCCCTCCGAGATCATTAGCCTCTTAGGCTACCACCTTCCAATCAGTAGTTACTTATAATATTTAGAAGAAAACAAGCCTTTTAAAGTAGAATTGATAAAAGTACCCCACTTCTAATTCATCTCTTGTCTGGAGCACATGCATACATACATACATACTGGTTAAGATGCTGGACTAGAAGCAAGGAACCCAAGTTTTAATCCTTTTCTTAGGCATGGAGGCCAGATGATAATTTTGAGCAATCACTTAATCTGAGAGAGAGAGGTCAAAAACATCCATTTACCAGCTCTCAGGGTGGATTATATAGTCCACAACTTCAGTAAAGACATCTTCATCTCACATAAGATTTGTTTGAACTGATACTATATTTTCACATTGATTGATGGATTCATTCATTAGCTGCCATCAAATCAGTGTCAACATAGATAGATACACTTTTTCTGTGCTCACCTGTCCCCTAACCTGGTATACTAAATATTCCAATGGTATCCCCATCTGCATGGTGAATTCATCTACCATGTTACTGGACATCCACTTCTTTATCCCTATGACATTCTAAGAAAGTGAATGTTGACATTTGAAGAAGCAGGATGGAAACAGTAATGATGCTCTTGAAATTTGACATTGCACAAAATGCTTAAAACCATCATGGATTGCTAAGAAAACAAAAAAATACATCACCAAACAAATCAAGCCAAATTCTTTTTCAAGGTACAAATGATCAAAATGTTCTGTTTATCTTGCAAATACCTAGCCTCTCCGGGGAAGATTCTAGTGTTAAGCCAAGTATAAAGAAATGGATGTTATCTTGGTAGATTACACTGTATACATTAATACTGCTTTGACCTCTGTGTTAAGGTTCCTGTCTATGTTGGAGGAAGAGGTATACAGTCAAAATTCTCCTATCTGGGATCCAGATTTCATAACTTCCACTTCTCGAAGCAACCAACTGGGCATCCAAACAGGTAAATATTGTAGTGCAAAACAAAATGAGGACCAAAATAGATTCTGTGTTAACATTATTCACTTAATGGACAGTTTTATCCCATTTATAAATGCATAAAGATTGTCTTTTAATTTAATTTGAATATCATTTACATTGCCTTTACAATTATGATTCTTCTGTTTTATTTTTTTAATTTATATACCTTCCCTCATTGTCAAGCGACTCTGCTTGATTTACATGCATCATAAAAGCAAAGGTACACAAAGTTAAACATTAAAATTAACAGACATTTAATAAGTCTAAAAAATAGAACAATAAAGGAGGCAGGAGCTTTTTCCTAGTCAACCGACCACCTTCAACACTGAATATCATATTAGACTCGGGGCCAATCAGCAGAGCCACATTTTGAGGCTCTTACAGAAGGCAAAGAGGATAGGGGCCGAAATGGGACAACTTGCCACAGCCAATATGGCACAGCCAGCTCCCTGCCACCAGCTAGCCACTGCCAAGCTTCCCCTGCCGACTCACCAAGTCACTGCAAGACAATTTCATATGGCCAATTTGCTATGGGGACAACTTGCCATAGGCAGCCAGAGGGAGAACTGAGTGGGTGGGTGAGCAAGCAGGTGAGGAGAAAGCAGGGTGGTGGCAGTGGGCTTCCCATTTTCACATCCCTGCTGCTACTGTGCTGAGCTCTGGGCCAAAAAACCTGAGAACTATACTGTCGTTAGACGGGGCAGGTGGAAGGGAGGCAGCGACTATCAGAGACATACCCTGCCACCACCACATAGAGCTCTGGGCTAAAGAGGCCAGTTTCGGTGGTGCTGGGATGTGTGGAAATAGGACACCTCTGTCCACTGCTGCCTTTCCACTGTTCAACCGCCCACTGGTTTCAGCGGCAGTGGCAGGGGATGTGAAAATGGGAAGCCCACTGCTCCACCAATCTGCACTCTATCCACTCGCTTGTTCATCCACCCACCTAGGTCTGTCTCTGACATCCTGTACGAATTGTCCCTGGGTTGAGTTGACCATACAGAATTTTCTTGCAGCAATTTAATAGCCTTGAGCTGGCTACTCCAAATTGTTCTAAACCTGTAGAGGTGTATCTCCTCTGGCTGCAGTGTTTAGAGAACATCATGTTTTGCTATAATTTTGTCCAGGTAAAATCTTGTAGAGAGTCCTTGTTTAATAAGAAAGAGGCAGGAGGTATGTAGTTAGATTTTTATTTAACACCTTTCTATAGAAGTGGAGACACATTTACTTAAATTTACTCAATATCAACACATGAGAATATGTGTAGCTGCATTTTGAATTGTGGATTTTTGGTTCTCTGAGCTTGGTTGTTTTCTTGAAGATTGTTTACTACCAGTAACATCAGTATGTGGGAAACTGAGCTTTGCTGTTTATATGCAGTAGTTTGCCCGGCCAATTTTAGTAGAGATGTTGTTTCCTCTTTAGTAGTTTTTGATTAGGGCATTATTTCCTGTCTGATAGTTGATTTCGTTCTGTTTCCTATATCAGGATTTTAGTTGCTTGTGAAGATATGTTCTAGGCTGTTAGTTTCCCAATGCAGGTTTTTGATTGTGCATTTTAAATAATACGTAAAATGGGGCTGTGTCTCTGTATCTATAGATGGCTTATTTGGGTGAATGCCAAGCTCCTAGGAATTCCCTTGCATTTTTTTATTTGGCTTGATCAATAACATTAACAGTTTCCCAATTGGAACAAGTTTTTGTCATGTTTTTGACTGCCAGCAAGATGCTCATAGAAAGCAATCTGCTAGCCTTTTTTCCATCAGCCTACATAGTGTTTATACTGTTCGATGAGTCCAATTTTTCCTCTTGGTTTGCTTAAGATATTTTGGAGGGATTTTGTTGCTTGGTGAGCTTCAGTGATGATGTAGGGTTATACCTAGTAGTCCATTTCATTGTCTCAGAGATGTTTTGATGTATGGGAACACCTTTTTTGTGTAACTGTAATAGTTGAGCATTCTACTTAGCCATTTTTTGATGAAGTTGCTGGATATTTTTTGGACAGTGAGTTATAGGTGGTCTGCTTTCCCTTTTTGATACTCCAGATTACAACAATGAGTTTGCTCTCATCTGAATAATGCTTGTATGCAGTTCCTCTTGTGAGTGGTTGGGTTGTTGTTTTGACAGTGAAGCTCTAATGTGAGCCAAATTTTAATAAACGTGAGTTTCTAATTTGCCAATGTTTCTTTGCTCATTAGAGTTTTCATGAAGGATAATATGGTGTTGCCTTCTTTTGAAACTTTATTCTGTATTCCAATATGTTGTATATTGTCTCATATATATTCTCTACTGTTCCTGTTTTAATATGACAGAGGCATAAGGAAGAAGCAGCACCAGGTAAACAGGGAAGATAAAATAAGAGAGACAAGGAATCATCAAGGAGGAAGCCACATGCCTACCAAGATTAGCAGGACAATTTACTATATATAAACAGCTATCAAATCCCATTCTCACTTGCACTGATAATGTTACCTAGCCTGGTAATAAAGTATCTGCAAAAAAACAACAAACCCAAAACAAAACAAGAACAAGTTAAGAGAGCATTAATAACCAACAATTTCAAAGTGCAATTGTTGACCTGACAAACTACTAGAAGCTAAGACTACTCGTTTTAAATATGTGGCTATTTGTTAATAATACTTCATGCTATGTAAAATTTATATAACAGTTCCCTCAAGAGTTTGAAACATTGTATTGTGATTCTTTAGTTCTTCAGTTAAGAGCGTCACTTGCTTTCGTTAAGGTAATTCTCACATTGGCTCAGATTAATTCAAGGCATGACATCTGGAAAACAGGCCTAAATTCAAAATGAAAGCCGGACTAACTTCAAATGCTAGAACATAAAAACTTAAAAGCAATTTCTAAATTTTAGATAAGAACAAGTGAAATGGTATCCAGTAAAAATTCAGATTGGCTAAAAAAACAGTTTACTTGGAGAAATTGAACCTAATAATGCTAGATATTGAAATCACCAAGGATTAGATTTTGGAAAAAATCACTAGACAGTGTCCGTTATTTACCTTTATAGCAAGGACTGGGCTGATAGGCCACAGGCCTGATTTGTAAGATACTTCTTTTGCAAGGGTCAGTCACCTCTCAACATATCTTATGAGTAGATGTTCAGATTTTGGGATTTCTGGTTAATAGTTTTAGATGAAAGAAGCAGGAATTATTTCAATTAATTAATTCCAATTAATACTTATTATAGTCATAAACCAGCACAAAAAATTAAATATTAAAATAAAGCAAAACTGAACAGAACCAAACAGGACAGGGCAAAATAATATGTTACGATTGAGAATGAAATTAATGGGTGACCAAAGTCTGCCTAATTTTAAAGATAATGCAACAAAACTTAGCTACATTCAGAATAACTGAATCATACTGATCCAACAATAGTAGTTTAACGTAAAAATGTTCAGTTTCCTGGATATTTAATCAGATCTGTGAGTCCCTTGGGGGGGGGGGTGCAATATAACAATATATGAGCTGCAGTTTTAATGGTCCCTTCTCCACAGGGGCACAGCTTCATCTCATATGGAACTTTTTTATATTGGCCTTCCAGAATTGCTATGGGCAATTCCAACATGCTAAAATTAATGTCCTCTGAAATTTAGAGACGGTTATGTAATATAAATATCTTGCTATTTTGTGATGTGGGGGGGGGGGAGGAAGATCCTGTCTGTTTAAGAAAACTTTCTTGGGTAAAATGGGTCCTGTTGAATTTCTTGGTCTTGAATGTGTTTTTTAAATACACTAAGTGCATGTTCATAGCCTATCATTAGGAACTCCTCCTGGGAGAGACAGAGATGTTGGTGTTTTAATACAATAGCATTAATCCATGTTAATTTATAGTTATTCTCCATAAGGAAAGAACTCAGGCCTGTGAGGAAGAACAGTATTTTCAGCTTATGTGTTATAATGCAGATGCATGCACTCGTTTCCATCTTGAACTCACGCTGTAAATATATTGGAAACAAATGGCTCTACTTGCATATTGCAGTCCTTTAGAAATTTAAACCAGAGCTTTTCAAGAGGGGCAGCAGAGGAATTGGGTCGTAGCTGGGCATTGAAGAGTAGTTGTACATGAGCCTTTGCTGAAAATAGCTTTGGTGCTGCTTGCTTCTCTAGTGAAATAGACTGATTGGATCGCAGTTACTGTTTTTTGAGAATTTTTTATAACATAGTTTTGATGCACACTGCATTTTGTGGAACAATAGAAAATCATGCTCAGATATTTGAAGATTTTAACTTGTTCAATATTCTGGTCTTCCAAGCATACTATTTGGGTCTCTACAAAAATAAAAAATAAAAAAATAGAATTTTGGTTTTACTATAATTGATTTTGAAAGCTTGCTCTGAGCCTGGTCAAGGCATTAGTTGGACTCAGTTTGAGTCCAATTAATTTTTGTGGCAGAAGTGTTTTATCATCTGCATATAACAAGATAGCAATATGTCTATTAGCTAATTTTGGTGGGTGGTTACTCTAATTTATTCATTCTGGTCACAAGTGAATTTCTATATAAATTAAACAGGAGGAGCTAAAATATGTACCTGCCTCACTCCTCTTTGGATTTGAATCTCATTAGTATATTGGCCTTGCATACTCCAATGGACTTTGAATCTGGAGTTCTTATAGAGGTTATACATAGACAAAAGTTACTGTCTATTACTGGTGGTTTTATCCTGAGCATAGCTCTGGGAACTAAATGCAGGCCTAAAATCAATAAATCCAGGATACAGTGTAGAATCTGCTTTAAATGTGTATTTTTCAGCCAGATGTTGAAATATAAGGGCATGTCCATATATAGAGTATCCAGACCTAAAGTCTACTTGCTTATCAGCCAGCTATGAATCAATGCAATCAACTAATTTATTATATAGGTGACTGCATATAGCTTGCTTATTATGCTTAACAAGTTGCTAAACCTGTAATTTTCAAGCAAATCTTGTGTGTCCTTTTTGTATATAGGCACAATAATAGCTA